TATTTTGTTAATTTGAATTAATTTTAATTTTATTAGGTAATTTAAATATTGAAATACTATTCTATATATCATGTGAGAGCTCTTTATTGTGAATTAAACTCTTTTTATATTTTGTTAATTTGAATTAATTTGGATTTTATTAGGTAATTTTGAGTTTTATAGAATTTATATTAATTAATAAATAAATATTGAAACTCTTTGCACAAAGGCCGAGAAAGTAGTATTATACTAGCCAAAAGATCAAGAAAGGTTAGCCAAAAGGCCAACAAAAAAAAAATTTAGTACTACACTTGATCTTAGCCAAAAGGCGAGAAGGTGTGATTATTATTTCTTTAGCTCTATAGTTTTATAAGAGGTTTTCATGTAATCTTTTTTACTTAAAATCAATGTGGGACTTTGTAATTTGAATTAAACACTTTTTATATTTTGTTAATTTGAATTAATTTTAATTTTATTAGGTAATTTTTAGTTTTATAGAATTTATATCAATTAATAAATAAATATTGAAATACTGAACTTGATCGTAACCAAAAGACCAAGAAAGGTTAGCCAAAAGGCTGACCCAAAAAAATTTAGTAGCACACTTGATCTTAGCCAAATGGCCGAGAAGGTGTGATTATTATTTCTTTAGCTCTATAGTTTTATAAGAGGCTTTCATGTAATCTTTTTTACTTAAAACCAATGTGGAACTTTGTAATTAGAATTAGACCCTTTTTATATTTTGTTAATTTGAATTAATTTTAATTTTATTAGATAATTTTGAGTTTTATAGAATTTATATTAATTAATAAATAAATACTGAAATACTGAAACACTTTGCACATTTAATAATAGTATAGAGATAGATATGATGTCCAAAAAGAATGTTTTAGACATTTTGAGACATAACACTGTAATGTTTTTTGTCACGAGGGTGATTGAAAAAGGACAATGCTAGAGAATTTATGGGTTGGGTTCAATTATAAATATGAATACGCCTATAAGAAAAAGAACAAAAAAATTTAACAGTGAATTATTGAATATTAATTATGTTAATCTTTGAGTTGCTTAAAAACCTTCATCAAATTCCAAAAGAAAAATAAAAAAATAAAAAATAACGGCTAAGATAAAATCAATATAATCATAGTCTAATAGAAGAAAGAACTAAAATTATTTTTAAATTAAAACCTCAAAAAATAACGGCAAACATAAAATCAATAATTAATTTGTTTTAAATTCAATTTTATACTTGAGCCTCAAGAATTCTTTTTAAAATAAAATTAATTTGTTTCATCGGAGAAGTTATTGGTCATTTGCGTAGAGATACATAAATAAAACTCTTAGTAATAAAAAGACGAGCGAAATAATTTATAATCAGAATAATTTATTGCTTTCACAAGACTATGTTTCTATGTGATTCAGTATTCTAAAGTAAATCTTTCAGAAAAGAAAAAAAAAAGAAAAAAAAAAGACAATTATCAAAAAAAAGAAAAAAGAAAAAAAGAAGAAGGAAAATAGTTGATTCCACAAAAGAAATAAGGTTTTTTTTTAAAAGTTGGTGGAGATAGTCCGCATCTTCACGTATGTTAAGCCTTTAGTGCGGGTCGAAATTTACCTAAAGTAAAAATAAAACTCTTAATAATAAATAGAAAAGCAAAGGAAATTATAATTAGAACAATATTTTGTTTTCACAAAACTATAAAGAAACATGTGTAGTTTAGTATTCTAAAATAATTTTCAAGAATTCAGAAATTAAAAAACTACTTTTAAATAATTCTGAAAAAAACAATTATCAGTAAACAAATATTTTTTTACCTAAGTTTTAGAAAACAATCAACTAAACTGATTTTTGTAGAGCTTTTTGATTTTTAATTATCATAAAACATAAAGTTGTTCAAAAAAAAAAAAAAAAAAAAGAAAGAAAGAAAACTAAACAAATCCATAAATTTGATTGCTAGTTTTTCAAAAATTATTTAAGTAATCTTATTATGAGAGCCATCTCAGCTTTTCCTTATTTAACTATTAGATGGAGACAATTTTTTTTTGTAAGAAAAGTCAAATAAGTATTTTAATAATTTTTTCAATTCAATTGTTTAATAAAGATAGCTCATCTTACTCAAATTATTTTCTCTAAGTTTGATTTTTTTTTTTTTTTCCTTATTTATTTATTTATTTTTTGAAAACATAGAATCCTTCCAACCTTTAACCTTTTGAACTTGTGATTACAAGGTAAATCTTATATGTGTAAATCACAAATATTATTTTAAATCGTGTAAGAATTGAACACCCTTTGACACTTTGCAGGCTATAAGATAAACCTTTAATACGTGCAAATCAACTGTAAATCGCGTATACCATTTCAAACTTTTTTCACCCCTTGAGGATTGAACACGGGACGTCCGAATTAAGGGCTTGCCTCAAGCTAAATCCATAGTCATTTTATAATTTATTCGAAAGTAATTTTCTGTTTTTAGGTTGTTGAATGTTGATAACTGTTTTGAGAAGAGAAAAATCCAAACTAAGGTCTTAATTTTACTTCAAGCGTATTGTCACGATCCGATTCCTAACGACGCCATGAGCATAGAAGATACGCATGCTGGTTGGCTAAGAACATTCATTGACTGGGAATGGTTCCAGGGAAGGGGCGTGCAGGAGCACAGGATGGTACCTCTTCAGAGTTCAGGCAGGTCGACTCGGTTCAGTTCGAGGTGCTTGTCGCTGGTCGTGGACTTGACTATGAAGAAGGGAGTTGTCCATCCCTGCACAAACTGGTCGGGAGCTGGAGCTGTTCCCCTGACGAGGCCATGGCAGGCCGAAACCAGTCAGCATGTATCCTTGGGAGGGCAGGTCGTGGTGGCTGACCAGGGCGCTTGTGCGAGCTGAAGCAACGCCTTGGTGCCGCACGGGCCGTGCCGCTGCGCCAAATCTCTAGGCCCGTGACAGTTGGTATCAGAGCTAAGGTCGTGAGGCGTCACACCTTGTGTGGAGGAAGCTATGGCGGAGCTATCAGACGTGACTGGCACCCAAGAGGAGACTCTACGTGGAAGGGAAACAAATCCCCCTCCAGGCGGAGTGAGGACGAGGGCTAGGTCGAAGGACATCATGGCGGGCTTAGAGGCACGTGTGGCAATGATGGAGGGGTCCATAGCCAACGTGTTGGAGCAGCTTGAGGATGCTCACCAGCGCATGGATAGGCTGGAGTCGGAGGACATGGGCTGGAGTCGGAGGACGTTGAGGTCCAGAATGCTGTCAAAGGGTCACTCAATGCCCTAAGTGGTGACTTTCGGCAGGAGCTCCAAGCACTTCGAGAACTTATGTTGGGGGAGTTTGCCACCCTACGTGGCTATGTTGATCAGGAGCTTGGCACTTTCCGCGAGCAAGTGGAGGAAATGCGAGCGGACTGGACATTGTGCAAACGGGCGGTGGCGTCCGGCACAGCTACTACGGGGGTAGTAGCACCCCGGGTTGATATTCCCAAGCCTAAGTGCTATGGTGGGAACCGGGTAGCGAGGGAGTTGGAGAACTTCCTCTTCAGCATGGAGCTTGCATGGACTGGAGCTTTCTAGACTTCTCTACACAAGTATGGAACTTTCCGGAATTCTCTAGATTAGTGTGGAGTTGTCTAGCCTTTTCTAGACTTGTCTAGAGTTGTATAGAATTCTCTAGAATTCTCTAGACTTGTCTTGTACATAGTAGATAGTTCTAGAGTTGTGTAGATATTTCTGGAGGATTCTAGACACTAAATCTAGGCCACACATTTGTACACATCTAGAATGTTCCTGTAAGGCCAAAGGCCTATAAATAGGAGGTGGGAGTTCATTTGCTCCTCACCAAGCAACCAAGTTGTAATCTCTCCTCTCAAGTAATACAAGTTCTATACATTCCCAAACTCTCTTGCTCACTTGCCTAACCTCTTCCTACACACCCAAGTAAGCAAAACACTTGTCTAGCCTTAGTCTTCACTAAGCTAGCACACTCGGGTAGGCTGACTTAGCGCTTCAAGGGGGCTTGAAAGTGTCTAAGGCCGCACGGGAGCTTGAAAAGGTTCAAGTCCGTGATAGGATGGCCGGAGGGCGTCCTTTAAGCCGGAGGGCCGCGCGCACCAAAGTTCTTGCAAGTTCAAGAGGCGTGCAAACCGTTGTGAAGGGCGGGTATCAAGTCAGCCGGAGGGCGCTTGTTTGCTCGGGGTGTCGCGGAGGCGGCATAACGTGGGGTTGCGTCCCGAAGAAGTGGGCGTCCCTTTAGCCCGAAACCCTATCATTGGGCGAGTGCAGCCAGGGGTTGTACAAGGAAGCGATGGTGGGCAGGCGAGCATACCACTTGGAGGAGACAAGCTTTGGAATGTGGGACGCAGCGGAGTCAGCGCCGCACTGCGACGAGGGCGTCGCAGGATTTGGGTGGGGGAGAATGTCACGATCCGATTCCTAACGACGCCATGAGCATAGAAGATACGCATGCTGATTGGCTAAGAACATTCATTGACTGGGAATGGTTCCAGGGAAGGGGCGTGCAGGAGCACAGGATGGTACCTCTTCAGAGTTCAGGCAGGTCGACTCGGTTCAGTTCGAGGTGCTTGTCGCTGGTCGTGGACTTGACTATGAAGAAGGGAGTTGGCCATCCCTGCACAAACTGGTCGGGAGCTGGAGCCGTTCCCCTGACGAGGCCATGGCAGGCCGAAACCAGTCAGCATGTATCCTTGGGAGGGCAGGTCGTGGTGGCTGACCAGGGCGCTTGTGCGAGCTGAAGCAACGCCTTGGTGCCGCACGGGCCGTGCCGCTGCGCCAAATCTCTAGGCCCGTGACAGTATGCAAACATCGCTGTTACTGTAAAAAGATTTTCTATGAGAAAATCCTTCGTCCGTGGGTGTTTGATACTTCGAAAAAAACGAAACGACGAGAGGAATTTACGGTGAACACCACCCACGCTGAAACAAAAAAACATAAAAAAAAAAAAAAAAAAAAAAAAAAAAAAAAAAACACGTCGCTCTCAGTATACAAAACCACTTTTTGGTCTCTCAAATTTAATGATTTATCGTCGTTCCATTTTTCCTGTTCTTCGCCTCCTCCACCCACCCTTCTCCGGCGACGCCATGGCGGCGCGTCTAATCACGCACGCCATGCCCGCCACTTTCGCCATTTCATCTCATCCCTCTTCTTTGCAGTCGAGTCTCGCTCCTTCTTTGACTCGATTATATGTTTCGTCTTCGTTCTTGGATTCCACGGTATTTGGTCGGAGGTTCAGTGCCTTCCGATTCGAGGATCGAAGGGCTTCGAGAGGGCTTGTGAGGGTTTTTGCGTCGCAGAGAGGGTACCGGAAGGTTCGGCAACGGACGGCGAAGAGTAAAGAGAAGGAATTGGAACTCGATGTCAAGATTTGTATCGAAGAGCAATTGCCTGACGATCCTGAAATTCTGGTTTCTGTCTTTCTCTGTGTGTGTGTATATATATATAGAAGTTAGTGTGTGTTTGTTTATAGTATTGAATTTATAGCTCTTACACTAATGTGATTTTTTGTAAATTTTAGTTATAGTTGGAATACAGAAATGCGAAAATGAGTTTAGATGCAAACAAATTGAAAAGGAATTAGGAGAAGGTTTAGGGGTAATAAAAAAGTTCTGAAATGATCTACATTTGCACAATGTAATCGATTTGCCGAATGAATACTAGGTTAACAAGTAAAGGGACTAATCACTGAAGGCAATGCAGTTTTACCCATGAATCATTCGTTGTTAGGGATACAAATGAACTGATCTGAGCCGAGTATTGGCTGTTTAAGCTCAATTCGTTAAACTTAAAATTTGTATTCAAGCTTGGTTTATTTATATTTTGCTGATCACAAGCTTCATTTAAGAGGTTTGAATTATAGTCTTAGCATATTTAACATGTGATATAAGTCAGTGATTGTAACTTCATATTATAATAGTATTTTTTTTTATGTTACTTTCATAAAAGGACCTGATCACTAAACTACTTGACACTAATACGTATGTTTCATGAGCTGAAATGAGTAATGCTTTGGTGTTGCTCGATCTTGGTTTAGTAAGAAATTGAGTTTAGAATATATATTCAAGCTTAGTTCATGTAACTGGTGAACAAGCTTGAATGAGATTCTTAGCAAGCCAAATACGAGTTGTTCATGAGCGGGTTGGTTCTTTCTCACTTATAATCATAACATTTCAGTGTAAAACTGACACTAAAAATAAATAAATAAAAAGAAAAGAAAAGAAATCCCAAACCCTTATGGGCCTTATTCGAAAATGGAAACTCTTTACCAATACATGAATTTTTTTTCCTCAATTTACTGGCAATGTATTATGCTTGTTCATGTGGCACACTAACAGAGCCTACGAAGTGAGGAGTTGCCAATAAATTGTCTATAGTTTTTGTCCACAGAAGAATCCTAACTTACTAGGACTTTAAAATATTCAAATAATGCCCTTATGTGTATAGCACTATAGCCTCATGGAACAATTCAAATTCAAAAAAAGAGGAAGAAATTAAAAAAAGAGCCGAGTGTCATCTGAACATGTCCTCGTCATCCCATCGAAGTGCCGATTATTTAAATCTTTTACTTATTCCCTCTATCTATTTATTAGTTTCCATACGTGTTTCAGGATATTGCAGAAATGCTCCGTCTAAATGTTCCAATGGCAATGAAGTTTGCATTTCAAAATCTGCAAGATTCAGTATATAAAACAAGAGATAATGCTATAGATGATGTTAGTGGATTTGAAAATGTCGAGTTATCAATACTTCTTTGCAATGATGATTTCATCTGCAAACTTAATAAAGACTGGAGGGATGAGGACCATGCTACTGATGTGCTCTCCATGTCCCAACATATTCCTGGACTGAAGCTTCCAATTGTAAGAACTCAATCCATCACCTTTGTGATCTGTCTTGACTAACAAACTTGACATGCTCTTTCATTTTGCAGCTCATGTTGGGTGACATTGTAATTTCAGTTGAGACAGCTGCAAGACAAGCACAGGAAAGGGGGCACACTCTTCTTGACGAGATCCGTATACTGTTGGTTGGTTCAACAATATTTTAACTAGTATCTTACATGTTCACGCATCTGTGTTTATATGCAAGTGCATACTTAAGTCTCATGTTGTTTATTTTCTTATACTTTAAATTGTCTTGATGTGGGCACCACTTCTTCTTTTCCTTTCATTTATTTTCACATTTCAATTGTTTGAGATTCAGCTATTCTACTTCCTGGGAAAAAAACACATTAAGATCACAAGAATAATTGCAGTTGATATGTGTCAGACACCCTTCACTTTTGAAGAAAGTATTCAGGATTATGTTACATGAATTCTCTTTTTGCTTCCTAGGTTCTTGTGCCGATATGACACATAATGGGTAATGGATATGTGATATCTCCAACATAACTTTTCTTTTCTTTTTTTTTTTCAAATTTGGACATGCTGAACCTTTACAAGTGATGATGGAGAAAAAGCAAAAGCTCAAAATTGATAGTGGAGAAGGTTTCCAACTCTCATGGAGAGATGATGTAAACCTTTTGTTGTACCACATCTCATTTAAATTCTAATCAAATACATTCTTTAATAACAATAACATAAAAAATATATAACATATAATGTATGTAAATGTGGGAGATGTGTCTGCGTACCCATACCTAACTTCTGGACACATTTCAATTCATATTTCTATATCCTAAATCTAGTCCCAAACCTGTGCCCGATTCATTGTACCTTGGTCCATATAACATAGATTCATAAAAAGGTGAGACTTTTCCCCCCCTTTGGTGTGCTTGTGCGTGTTTATGTGTGTCCATGCGTGCATGCACGTGAAGGGTGCGGTTTAGGTTTGAACAAAGAAGCTAGGATGAAAATCAACCTGCTACACTCCCTTACATTCTGTTTGTGTCTTGAGGCATGTGTACTGTAGATGTGTTACTTATCTCTTGCTTATAGCTTTAGAAGAGTAGTTGCCAGTGAACGGAAGAAAGGAAACAGCTGATAGTACATTCAGGATTTTTTATTATTTTTTTTAAAAGAAAAGAAAAAAACTGATAGTAGAAGTAGATTGTTGACTGTTTTCAGCTTATAAGAAATTATTTTTTGGTCAGAAAGTGTTTAATGCAAAATAATAATTGTAATTGCTTTAAACCCCCGCAGGTTCATGGGCTGTTGCATCTTATAGGATTTGATCATGAGTTTAATGATGAGGCTGAATTAGAAATGGAGGAGGCGGAGGAACTTCTTTTGAGGACTCTTGGTTGGAAGGGGAAAGGATTAATTCGGAGTGCATATGATGCTGAAGCTGATGGAATTCCTCAAATTCAGATGGATAATTCAGATGGTAATTTCATTCTTATCAATTCTAAGGTTACAAACTTGTAGTCCAATAGATCTTCCTCTTGGGTGAAAACTCTCTCTATCCATTTGAGCTATGGTCACCATGTGAGATAGTGGAGGGAAACTTACATGTGAATTGTTAAAAGACAGGAAGAAAGAAGGCAGTCTTCGATTTTACAGACCAAAATTCAGCCACATCTTCTGTGATATGGATGGTGAGATTGCCTAAAATGCTTTTAAATGTTTTCTGGATTCTTTCATATGCTTATAATGATTTTGCTGTTAAAATACAAGGCACACTACTGAACAGCAAAAGTCAAATTACCTCAACAACTGCAAAAGCTTTACGAGAGGCCTCGTCAAGGGGTGTAAAAGTGGTGATAGCCACTGGGAAAGTAAGGACAGATGATAATTTAGCTTTCTTTTACTGAATTATTATGTTTGTTTCATTTCTGTTGGACAGTGTTGTTATTTTGACACATATTCTAAATATTAATTATCACTAATATCTGGGAACAGACTCGTCCGGCAGTCATAAGTGCTTTGAAGATGGTAGATTTAGCAGGGATTGATGGCATTATTTCAGAGTTTTCCCCAGGGGTTTTCTTACAGGTTTTTATATATTCCCTCTGTTATAATCACTTTCAGCATGCCTTATATGAGGGATAACTTCTGCATGTTCTTGTAAGGGTTCTAAAGGCAAATGTGTGACCTTTCTGGATGAATAAATTGATGGTGTATTTTTAAGTTCTGTGCTTATGTTGAGTTCCCCTAAACATATAATAAGATGCTTACAACACTTCTGGTTGGATGCCTCTTCCATAATATTCTTGTATCTCGTGATACAACTTCATTTATCTTCAGTGTTTTGCCAGGGATAACTACTTGAGTCTTTCTACTGAGAGCATTTAAATAATAGTACTTTAATTTTTTTTTTTCCTGGTTAATTATAGTATTTTAATTCGTTTAGGAAAATAAAAATTATAGTATTTTAATTATAGTATATGGAGGTTGATAAAGTAATATGTTAAACAACACATATGGTTAATACATGCTATTTCCAGTGTCCATCACCTAATATATACATTAATTTAAACACCTATCAGTTCCATGATCGACAAATTGACTGGACCTCTGCAATTTCGTTGCATGAGAACCCCAAGGAAACATGAAGGTTATCTTTTTTTTCATCTCCAGGGAAAGTTCCTTCTGTGGAAAATGCGTTATTTGGATTACCTCTGCTCCTCACTGGTCTTGCATATTTATAGTTTTTGCATTCTTGAAATGTTTTGCCGTAGTCATTTTGGTTCAGTCTCAAGCTGATCACTACATGTACCATCTGTTGTCTCTTATTGTTAGTTCTCTAATTTATTTCAGGGGTTGCTTGTTTATGGTAGACAAGGTAGGGAAATTTTCAGAAGGAATTTAGATCGAGATGTCTGCAGGGAGGTAATGTCTCTCATTTTGGGATTCAAGAGATGTCTGCGCGTTACTGATAAGTTTTTTAATCAAATTTGTTATTACACACAAGGCAACTTAGGAATTTTTTTCTTTTTGTGGGCTAGTGGTTTCCTGCTTCTTCACCTGTAGTAGGAAAATAATATGCCATACATCAATTGCATTCATTGGCCTCTTTCTACTCAGTTGTGCCAATCTATGTTGGTCCTATTATTTGAGGGTAATAGTAAGCTAATGTGCCACTGGGCCTCGTCTTAGGTGCAAGGGTACTGCCACTGCTTAAGCAGTCATGAATTGTGATTATGTGACTTATGTGCTTCTAATTGGTTACTTAGAAAGAATTATCAACCTTTTATTGAAGTACCAGAAACTTCTTGGCAGCCTCTCCTTTTTCACTGGCCCCTTAAATATGCAGTTCTCTGTGGTTTTTAACTGATTTTCAAGAGTCAAATTCCTTGGCAAGGCATGCAGGATAGTCTATGCTTGTTATATTCTTATTCTCTGTGGTAAAACTGTTTTAGATGTTTCTGATGTCTAAATTGCAGGCATTTCTCTACTCTTTGGAGCATAAAGTTCCACTTATCGCGTTCAGTGAGGATCGGTGCTTAACATTATTTGATCACCCTCTTGCAGACTTGCTTCATACTGTATATTACGAGCCAAAGGTACCTGATGACACTTATATTTTTTTCCTTTGTAATAATCCTTTCAGCTATTACCGGAGTGGGGATATTCATATGTGTGGTTGACATGAAAGTTTGTTGACAGGCAGAGATCATTCCTTCAGTCGAGCTCCTCTTGGCTGGTGTTGACATCCAGGTATGCTGTTAAAGTTGGCAGATTTGTAGTTTCATCCACATTTTGAAGCATGGGTTAATTGAGCACAAAATTTTCATACTTCAAAGCTGCACAGTTCTTGTTTTTTACCGTAACACTGCCCAAAAGTGCTCACTCACAGTTTCTATCGTGTAACATTTGAATTGGACTACTTTCTCATATTCTTGATGTGACCGAGTAGCCACGTTTACTCTGTCTCCAATTATTAATAATCGTCTAATTATGATTGAAATCCTTATGAGAGGCCATACTGGTGAAAAATCCAGGAGGATAGGCATATGGAATCACAGACAGTCGAGTGGATGATTAGATAGATACTTTTTTTATTGAATATGCCCAATTGAAAGTTTATTTGCTTAGCAGCATAATCAATCAACGAAATAATCTGATGATCATGCAATCAATTACTGTAATTAGGAGGGTTAAGCTTTAGAGGTCTCAAAAGTTTGATCAATTCTACTGACTCTATTTGAGGCTTGATCATGCTATCTTAAAGTTTGATCTAAGTTCGACCAACCCTATATCTCAATTGATGGAGTAGGTACTGGACACACTTCGATTGGTCAACCATCAACTCTGTCAGTTGAATAGTGATCGTTGCTCTACTACTGGCTTTTTCCTTTTCGTTGGTGACTCTCAACTATCTTGGAAGAGTGAGAAAGAGACCATACTCGCTCTAGTGCAGAAGCCGAGTACAGGATCCTTGCTGATACTACATCAGAGATTATTTTGTTGCGATGGTTATACTTAAAGACGAGTCACTTTTTCTGGGCCTACTATCTCTTTTGTGACAACATGAGTGCTATCCAACACCCTCTGACCTGTCTAATTTGACTTGTTTGCTCCAATGTCTAAAATCCAGCCTCCTCCAGATAAGGCTTCTTTTCTGTGAGACATTGATCTCTACAATCCACATGTACTTTCCACGCCAAACTTCCTAATTAATCTCAAAATGTGTCCATCCAAATATAAATTCAATCAGGGATTAATTTGGCCATTGAAAACTTCATTTTCCAACCTAAACCCTAGAGTCTTAGGGTCACTTACCTTTCCTAAAGTGTGCTCAATATAACTTGAAGAATCATGTTTGTTAGGTTGTAGGACTTGGGTTGAAAAATTTCGTAGATCAAAATTAAGAGTCCTTGACTTTTGTTTTTAGTTTCTAGTTTAAATTAGAAAATTCAGAAGGTAGTGTTACTTGTTACATCTTGCTCATGTTTGATGATGAAATAGAAGTTACATTCAAGGATAAATGCGTAACCTTCTACACCAAGGGTAAAAAGGTAGTTTGACGCTTGCATGCACTCGGCAAATTAGGGTACATGCATTCATTCATTAGCTTTTCTAATTCACTTGGTTTAATTTTGTTTGATTCTGAAAATCCTTTTTGATATGCATATAGTGTTTCTAGAAACTTCCTTTCTAGAACTTTCTAAATGTAAAAATGTAGTAGGCTTTGATCAATCAAGGGCCACTGGAGTTGTGTCGATCGATCGACTGGTTCCTCAATTGATTGAGCAGTTTGGAACTTCAGTTTCCTTTTCAATTTAAGATACTGAAAAACCTATTCTCTATACTTCTAATTTGCCTATATATATATATAACTCTAGGACAGATTACATATACCTAGAATACAACTTACAACACATACAAAGAGTATATTTGTAAGTTTTAGAGTGCATCTATTTTTCTTTACATTCATCATTCTTGCATTAGAAGTGAGTGCGTTCTTAGAGTGTCTGACATCATCGCTGCGGAGTTCAACACCAATGTCAATCCATTTAACAGAGATTGATTCGGACAACTACTGGCTGAGACTAAATCACTAGTGCGAGAAGCAGATTCGTGAGGAATGAAGTTTGTTGACTAGCGGATTGTATGCCTGGAGAGTTGGGGAGAGTTTGGTGGATTTATCTGTGTCAAGAGGTAACTAGGTTTTTTTAGGGTTTTGGGAAATTGTTAACCTAGGTTGTACTGCTTCTTTCTCGTAGTGTATTTGGTTTGCTTCGATTAAGTTCCGTGATTTTTTCCAGTTGGGTTTTCTACGGTTCATTAATAATTGCTTTACCTGTTTATTGCATGATTGGATGATGGATTAAGTAACATGTTAGTTTTTAGTCATAATTTGAATTGAAAGTTTCTGTTTATTTCTTTTAAATTCAAAAAGTAGTTAAACTTATTTAGTCAACCAACAAGACCTACTTAATCCCCGTCTAAGTATAGATCGTGGACTTGGCATGACTCTATTGCATTCTAACGAACTTACAGAGTAGAAACAAATTTGGCTCTGTCTTCAATCTTTGATGATGAACCATGGACGAGCACCTCATCCCTCAGTCCCTCTTAACGTAATTCAACTTTTATTTAAAAGAATCTGCCAACAATGCATCTCTCTTAACACTTGGATATATGTTTATAAGCATAACCTACTGCAGTGCGAGTTCTTTGTAGTAGTTGTGTTCTTGTGATTAACTGGTGACTGGTAGGCTCTGTTATAGTTTTTTCCTTGTATTTTGCATATATAATGAATATATATGCATAAATAAGCTGGAGGGAAACATTTAAAAAATGTCATTTGTTAGTCGTAGCAGATGACTCCTCCTGGTCATCAAGTAAACTAAATCAATATACTAATTTATGATTATCGTTTTCAAATTGTGAAACATTTTGTTCGAATTCGCAGAAGCTGATCTTCTTAGACACTGCTGAGGGAGTGGCTACTACTCTGCGGCCATACTGGTCAGGAGCAACAAGAGATCGTGCCACAGTCGTCCAGGCTGTTCCAGACATGCTTGAAATTGTCCCCCCTGGAACATCAAAAGGGAATGGAGTAAGGATACTTCTTGATCATTTGGGTGTTACTGCAAAGGAGGTATGCGGCAACAAATTCCCTACCCATCTAATTGTTTGGGTTATTTTATTCCAAATATATAATGGACAGTTACCAATTTGCTGGAAATGACCCAAATAACAGGTCTCTATTGTCAGTCCAGTCCACTAAACTGATTGCTTGGGCTTTGATTAGGAAGGAACATGGACCCACGCCATGTCATTGGTAGGATAATGTGGGAATGGTGGATTAGTAGGCCAGAGGGTCAGGGTTGCACTTTGCACCATTTCAGCACCAATCATTTATGGATTTTGGTGGACTGGGGCTTTGTGGTCGAAGTCATAACTGGTCCTTATTGACTTGTGAATGCTTGCTGCATTTCTATTTGCTTAACACCATATTTTATCAGACTAGGCTGGAATAGACCCATTTCTTGTATTACCTAAGTTGGCTTACAGGTGCTGGCACCAGATGTAAGAACATCTTGATTACTGATCAGCTAAATCTCAGTATTCTATTAAAAGTAGAAATAGCTTTGAAGCCGTGTTATACATCTAAGTGAATAGGTTCAAAACAACATTCAATACCTTCTTTACAAGGCTTAAACCAGCTAGTTAAGTCCTCAACTTACACTGAGAAGTAGCATGATCCCATATAGATTCCGCAATCTCCATGATTGGCCAACTGCTCCGAGTAACAGTTGCATCTTTACCTTGGCTCAAAGTTTCCCCCAAATTACGCCCAAAGCTTATTCTCTCTATGTGTGTATCACTTTTCTTTTTCCTCCATTTCCTTGGTTAGAACCATAAATGTCGTCAAGATAAGATTGAAGTATGAAATGGAAAGACAAGAAGCTCTTCACACTACTCCACTCATGGTGTCAGCTTCGACATCCTTAGAACCATTAATGTCATCAAGATAAGATGGAAGTATGAATAGGGCGGACGAGAAGTCCTTCACCCACCTCCAGCCATGGCGTCTGTTTCTACATCCCATTCAAACCACTGCCACCAACCTAACACTGTCCAACTAGTTTGACATTTTACCAAGAAGTCTGAAAATCTTAAGCTCTTGAATAAAGTTTTCAAGTTTGTGGCCTAGTGGTATCTCCTCTCCTTTCAAAGTGAAAGATGGAGGGTTCAAGTCTTCCCAAGAGCATTCTGTGAACACCCCCCAACACCAAAAAAAAAAAAAACAAGAAGAAGGGATTTCATGGAACTGAATATCATTTTTGAAGGCATGGTTAGTTTTTAACTGTCTATTTTCCATTCGATTCACCTAGACTATATCCAAGGCAGAATTTTATATCAAAATTAATTATTGGCCTACAGGCTACATCTACTTGAGCCATTTTCACGACTCCAGTTATTCTTCATTATTTAGTTCTTATATAACAGCAAAAGAGGCTTTTTTCGTAGCCTTGTCATGGAGTAGAATAAATTGAATTATTGTGACGCCGTAAATATTTATATGTAGTCCTCTCCCCAGACCATGCCGTGGCAGGAGCTTCGTGCACTTGGTTAGCCTTTTTTTAGTTCCTTGCATATAGGGATGCTATCCAATTCAAGAGAAATATAGAAACTGGCACAGTAAACACACTCAAATTGACACCATCGGAGAAGATACCTCCAAAATTAGCTGGTGATTGTTTATTTAGAAAGATGGATGCAAGCACCAACATCTGATCATTGCCACCTCTTTTTGGAGGTGAATGGCATTCTCAATCTTGAATATGCATTTTCACATAGTGAGGCTTAGGACAGGTACCTTCAGACCACATGATCAGGGTTATAATCTTTAATGATGTTTGTAGAAGAAAACTATGAATCTTTGACTGCCCTAGTTGGCAAAAAGTCAAGAATAATGACAGATCTATTCCTGTGGGGTTTTCATGCCTTACAATGTTGGAAATATGGCCATCTTACCCTCTATTGGTTCGTACCGTTGGTTATTAGATAATGGCTGTTGGCGATGGGGAAAATGATGTTGAGATGCTCGAGTTGGCTTCTCTAGGCATTGCTCTCAGTAATGGATCAGAGAAGGCAAAAGCTGTGGCTAACGTGATTGGTGCCAGCAACGACGAAGATGGAGTAGCTGACGCCATCTACCGGTATGCATTCTGAGCTTCAGGCTTCAGCATTAAAATTAGGATGGACTTGATGTTACTTGTTATTTACAATGTAGGACACAATACACACTCATTATTGTTTGTGAATTTATTTTTCTTTCTTGATTATTTATTTTATTCAAAAGAATGTTTCTTATTAGCATGGTAGTGTAGAAAAGAGAAGCTTGTCACCTCTTTCGCAAGAAAGAAGAGAATTTGTACGAATTCTTAGTAAGTCCACAATTCTTCAATTATTGTCGACTTCATCTAAGAGCTATCTATCTATAGAAGTGTAAGAAGGAAGTCACTAATTTTCATTTACAGTTTTGAATTGATTAATTGGCTGGTTGGGGATATTTGAAATTTGAGGAGCTAAAATGGTGAGTAACAGAGCCAATTTCTGTTTGTCACTTTGTAGGTGGGCAATAAAAAATGCCGATATGTTAGAAAAAATACTAAATTTAGTTACCATAGTGCACATACTGGGCTTTAGAGCAGGGGAGTATTCTTTTTTTCTTTCTTTATTATGCAGTAATTACACCGTCTCTAACAGCTAACTTTTGGAGTAGACGGATGTTAACATAATAATACGTATCGGAGCAAAAAGAAGACCACAGTACCAACGGGCCAATGGTGTAGCGGTATCAGTCTCTTACTTCCCAAAGGGAGGTCTGGAGTTCAACTCTCAAAAGAGACATGTATGTGTGAGTACCAACTAGGAAAAAAAAGAAGGCCACGTGAGGGGGCGTGTTGAAGGATTTAAATCTCCACCTCCGCATACCTTGGGGTAGACTTGTCATAATGTTAGTGGTGGAAAACAAAAAATGTTCACAAAAAGATTGCAATTAAGTCTTGGACTGCTGTTATGTTGCCAACAGATGGAGCCTCATTTTCATAGACCAAATTTAGCATTAAGTTGTATAGACAATATTGGACTCTGCATCTCAAAACTCTTCTATCATGTAGTGCATTTCTCCTTGCAGCATTTAAGATGGTTTTGTCAGCAGTGAGCGAAAACTCCACGGCTCAACCTGCTCAGATCAATCAGCGAAAACTCCCATTCCCTCCGGCACCAATAGCTAGCTCGTCCGGTGTCATGCCGGCAGAGTTATGGAACGGGGTTTTGTAGGTCTCTTGAAACCCTAGGTGGGTCTGGTGACTCCATGCTCAGAGCATAAAGAAAGTAAGAGAGAGTTACAAAAGAAGTATGAGATACATATATAATTGTTGATGAAATGACTAGATTTTAAAATATGCATACTGAGGACACCTTTGAATTATCTTGTAGATTCTGTTGTAGGGTTCAAGATGACCTAACATGACAATTAGCAACTCCGATGAGTAGATAAATGGGTGTCCCAGACATGCCACATCATTGGATGACCTTACCAATGAAAATACACTGTAAACAACTTGTTGACAGCACATTTTATAAGTGGGTGGAACAAATTTTATTGGACGGTGCATTTTGATTTGAAGGGCATACCCGTGACCTCACCAATGAAAATACACTGTAACAACCCCGCAAAATGGTGAAGACGGTGGTCTTCTGGACAAGTCGAGACGTTTTGATGCTTTAACCACTATGTCTTCACTCCTTGGAAGATACAGGTCTCCTTATATTTAAATTATCATCCATTTTCTCGATTAAGAAAGCATTTAATTTATATGTTTACAACACACCTACTTTACAATGTATTGATTGATCGGATAAACATCTTGATTTCTAATTAGTTACTGAAATACAAATACATCAAGTCATTTAACTAGTAGAATTCCAACAAACAAGAAACTAATCCTATTATTTGGTATTATGTATTGACTAATACCAAGATTACTTGATTAATTGATCAAATATAAATCCTAATTCATTAGCTGCGACAGTGACATTTTATACAGAGGTTTAGCTAGTGAGTACTTGGAAGAAAGAACTTCTTGAGAGATGCGTCGCATTATTGGCCGAAACTTTGGTTCAGAATGTAAGCAAGCAAATGCCAATGTAGCAGTCAGACCAAAATCCCGCGCAACCCGTCCAGGCGCTGGAGTTTGGAGGCGTGCATCTAAAACATCCTCTAACATTATATTTTGAGTAGATGCTGATGCCAATGATTGGAGAAGTTCTCCCGGATGCCTTTCCATGAGCGTTTCCAATGCCACAACCCCAAAGCTATAAGCATCGCATTTTTCATTCACGACAATGGTGTAGGCAAGTTCTACACAAACAATAAAGATAGTTAATCAATTGTTAGAAAATAGTTTCCAATTTAGAATGCGGACCTTAAAAGCTACTCAGGAGACTCTGGAAAAAAAAAAAGAAAAAAAAAAGGGAGGTTGAAATTGCATATGAAGAATGGTTCACTTGGGGCAACATATCCATACCTGCCGGCAAGTACAATTCGGTTTGATGAATCAGGATATAACTGTCTAGCTGTGCCAAAATCAGCCACGACCACCTCCATTTCCGAGCTCAACAGGATGTTGTTGCTTGATATGTCGCGGTGAACAATTGGTGGATTGCAATCATGATGCATGTAAGACAAAGCATGTGCAATGCCTTTGATGGCGTTCACCCTCATAGTCCAATTCAACTCCGCAGCTTCAGCATCGTGTCTTAGGGCACAGAATAAGCTTCCTCTTTCCAAGTACGTAAATCAAGAACATGCAACGATTGTGCAAACAGAATCCGTAAAGCTTGACAATGTTTCGATGCCTTATTTCTGCTAACATTTGCACCTCATTCTTAAAACTCTTGTTGAAATTTGGTACCTCGGCTTCTGACCTGTGAAGTTTCTTCAAGTCAACAACTTGGCCACTCACCAACTGTGCCTTGTAAACACTGCCATAACCACCCATCCCTATGCAGTATCTAATGTCAAAGTCATCCGTTGCTTTAATTATATCTTCATACGCAATGCTTCCATCGTAATTCCACACTGAGAACAAATTTCCGTTCTTTATTGCCCTTTATTCGGATTGAGTATCTTTACTAACCTTACGACGGAGGAAGAAAATAATTACGAGGATTAAAAAGGAATGAGGATGACAAGCAAAATGACTTCAATAATATTGTTCGCCCACCAACCAGTGCCTTGAAGATCCTCTTCCTCTGTCCATGACGACGATTTCGACAGAATAGTCGTTGCCATTAAGTTAACATTAGATGCTATCCATACTACTACAACTGCACAATATTTAAAGGACGCCATGTTTATTTTCACAATGGATCAATGAATGGATGCATATGGTTGCTGTAAGTAGAATATATATATATATATATATATAGCTAGAGACTTTTGGCTTCCTCTCTAATTTCTGCCAAGTTTCGTAAGCGAAATAAATAATAAGAAATTCATAAGCGAAATAAATAGATGATAGTGAAGTCGGGACCTGGCCCAATGTTTCTCCTTAATATACATGCCTCTTGGGTCCAATTGTATATGTAATTTTTAATTTTTTTTATAAAATCCTTCATTTCTAGGGTTGTCCCTGGGTTCAATATACGTGGTGTGTGTATATATATATAAATATATATGAAAAAAAACATAAAAACCAATGGCCTATGAGATTTACTCTATATATATGTCCTAAGGTTTGGCCTCTTTTTGCAAAGCCTTCCCCTCTGTGTGCACAAATCAGTCCTCAATACATATATATTGAAATGACCAAAATGCCAATTCACTAAAGAGAAAAGACGTTATTACCCTTATTGAGTCATCAAATGACAAAAAAAAAAAAAAAAAAAAAAAAAAAAAAAAACAACCTACCTTGCTTTATTGTACATAACCCGCAACCGTAAATGGAATAAAATTAAAACCAACTTTTGAATAAAATATATTTAATTAAAATACATTTAAGGGACTATTAATTATATTTAATTAAAATATAATTAGAATAACATTTGTTTATTTAAAACAAACTGATAATAAAATGGTAATTATTGTTTAAAATAATTAGGTTAAATAGGTGTGTATATATATATATATTAGGAAAAGGCACGTGCGATGCACATGGGGAATGTTTTGTAACTTATAGAATTTTTGTTTTTGAATATATATATATTTTTTTCTAATTGTTGATTTGAAACTTGTAAAAATAAACGTTACAAACAAATTGCAATTTTTTGTAACTCTTTTTATATTAATTAATAAATATTTATTTTATATTAATAAATAAATACTGAAATATTTTGAAATTGGTGGTAAAGTTTAAGTTTCTTAAATTAATAAATTCTTTTAGGTTTTTATATTAATATTGAAATATTAATATTTTATTTTTTATTAATTAATAATTTTTTATTTTAATAGTGAAATATTTGAGTTTTGCAAAGTAACAAATTATTTTAGGTAATTTGAATTTTATTAGGTAATTTGAAATTTAGTATTATTTTTAATTTACAATAGAAATTCAATTATTAATTTTTAATTAAATTTTAAAATAGAAATTCAATTATACTAATCATACATTAGATCAAAATTGATATAAAAATTTATTATATAGAGTTTGTGGTTTTTGGAAGATCATAGATTATATTTTATTTTTTTAAAAAATATATCCTTATCTAATGTGATAGAGTTTAAAGAAAATAAAATAGGTAATTTGTGATAGAGTCTTATATAAATTATTTTATTTTATTTAAATATATCTTTGTAAAATTAGATTTTCTTTTATTAAAAAACTCATAATAAATAGATAAATACAAGGGTTATATACTTATATGTGATAGAGTTCTCTTTTTATATTAATAAATAAATATTTTTTTATATTAAAAAATAAATATTGAAATGTTTAAATTCTTTAACATTTATATTTTATTTATATGTATTATTATATTATTATATATTTTCTTTAAATATATCCTTATTTAATGTGATATAGTTATAGAAGTTGTTTTATTTTCTTTAAATATATCATTGTTTAATTAGATTTCATTTTATTAGAAAACTCATAATAAATAGATAAATACAGGTTATATATGACAGAGTTTTAAAGAAAATAAAATAGTTAATTTGTAGTAAAGTTTTGATAATTTGTGTTAGAATTTTATAAAAATTCTTTAAATATATCCTTATCTAACGTGATAGAATTTCATTACAAATAAAATAGGTAATTTGTGGTAGAATTTTATATAAATTATTTATTTGTTTTAAATATATATATATCCTTGTCTAATTAGATTTTTTTATATTAAAAAACTCATAATAAAAGGTAATTTATGGTAGAGTTTTAGAAAAATTATTTTATTTTTTATATCAATTATTAAATATTTTTTAT